AATGACCATGATGAATCCAATTACAATCTACTGATAAGTAAATGACCATGATGAATCCAATTACAATCTACTGATAAGTCTAATGACCATGATGAATCCAATTACAATCTACTGATAAGTAAATGACCATGATGGATCCAATTACAATATACTGATAAATAAATGACCACGATGGATCCAATTACAATCTACTGATTAAGTAAATGACCATGATGAATCCAATTGCAATGTACTGATAAGTCTAATGACCATGATGGATCCAATTACAATCTACTGATAAGTAAATGACCACGATGGATCCGATTACATGAAAGAAACTCATATTAAGTATGAGAACAATTATGTAAAGTACCCAGTGTGAGCTTGAGCTTTTATTCACTACTTACTTGGATGCTAGTCGAGACACTTGATTCAATTCATAATTCAACAATAATAATAATAATTTTGAAATGATAAAAAGTAACTTAACACCAAACACTTAAAAATTAGGATATGATCATTCTACAAGTTCAGTGAGAAAAATGGATTCCTATCATATGCTGATATCTATTATTTTTAATACAGTAAATCCATTAAGATTAAATCCATTATTTCAAACTTTTCATTCTTTTCCTTAACAAGCTACCTAAAACGGGCTAAAATTTGTTAACATATTAACTAAAATCAATTATGGTTTGAAATTTGTAACGGACAAATTAAGAGAGGTGTGAAAAAACAGCTAATATCTAAGTAATTTCTTTTTATACAATTAATATTATGTTTTTATACAGAAAGTGATGTTAAAATTTACGTTATCAACCCAGCATTAGAAAGATTTGTCTATGCCTTCTTTTATCAGTAGCTTTGAAATTTAAAAAAAATCTTGGCACGAGCATGAAGAAACGAATTAATGAATTAAAGACAAATATGAAAGAAAAAAGTCAAAATAGAATACGTTTACTTAGCATTCAAACACATCTCAATAGTTAACATTTATTTTGAGATCCAACATGTATAATTCAAATAAAAAGTCTTTTGAAATACTTCTTTCTGAAATAACTTGCCTAGGAATTGACTGGAAACTTTCATATATTTTTTTATCATTTTTTAATCACTTTTAAACCCAATATTCTTTACAAAAGTATTAAAAAAATAACATTTTATATTAGCCTACGAACATGGGTGGAGTCAAAGTGTTATAACCTTTTACAGAATGCCATTTAACGTGGAATTATGTATTTGATATCAGAGTTATATTTTACACTACATTACTGATTTGGCAAAAGTTTGCAGTCGAGGAGAGATACAATATACAGAGATACTGAAAAAAACAACAACTGAGATATGCATCTTGGAGATTCTAGTGGTCAAGCAAATACACTATGCAAACTATACAGTAGGTAAAAGTATGTTTATCCTTCACAAGAACATCACCTGGTCAGGGCCTGAGTCAGACTGATGTCATCAATTTATATGAACATCTTGAGTACAAATAACATTTGTCACTAATCTACTTTTTTGTTATTGTAGGTTTCAATAAAAGTTAGCCACATTCCACAGAGATACACTTAGTAAGTTCAGAATTATAGTTAATATTCCTTCTCCAATATGGGGTCAGTCCAATGACTTAATGCTTAATGTAGCTTTAAGCTTCTCCAGATCATTATGCTTGAACAGGTTGGGTTATATCTAGAGAATTATTGAATACAAGTCTAAGCAGTGCATATTTTCATTGTGTAGATCATTAGTTAGGCTACATTTAGAGCGTTATGTTTAGTCTTGAGCTCATAATCTTATGAAGAACATTGAATTGTTCAGAGGACTTACACCTGTGATGGAAAAATTGTCCTGTAAGAATAGGTTAAGATCTCTGAAATCGTTTTCTCCTGAAATAAAAAGAGTTAAAGGGGATTTGTTTGAGGTGTTTAAGATTGTTAATTGATAGTGTTGATGCATCATCTTTTTTCAAACTTAAAGGTGAGAATAGTAGGACTAGGGGACACAAATATAAATTTTGGCAGGGTAAGAACCATCTTCAGCTAAGACAGTTTTATTTTTCCAACAGGGTGGTTGACATTTTAAATGCGATGCCTTCAGATGCTTGTTATCAATTTTGTGCAAAGCTAAACGAGGGCTATCTGCACTAGCTGTCCCGAATTTAGCAGTATAAGACTAGAGGGAAGTCGGCTAGTCATCACCGCTTACCATCAACTCTTGGGCTACTCTTTTAGAAACGAATAGTGGGATTGACCATCACATTATAACACCCCCATGGCTAAAAGGGCCAGCATGTTTGGAGTGACGAGGAATCAAACCCGCTAACTGCAGATTGCAAGTCAAGCACCCTAACCACTTGGCCATGCCAGGCCACCTTGAGATGTGGTGGATGCAGTAAATTAAGGGTCTAAGGGAAGGATTGATAAATATTTGAATAATAAGGGCTAGCTTTGAGTGTTTTATTTTTATTTAAAGTTTAGTGGATGAGACTGACAGCTTACATGGATCAACAGGTCCCTTGTTGTCCTTAAATTTTATGTTATGTTACACATGTAGCTTGCTCTGATCAGAAGTCAATATTAGTATTCAGTGTACAATTTAACTTTTAAATAATATCTTATAGGGCCATTATTTACCACTGCCTTAGAATATTATACAATTGTACTCATAAAGTTCGATACTTCACACTATGTTTAATTATTCGTATTGAAATTTACTTACCTAAGAATCACAATCACACCATCAAACACATTGAAGCCATTACTAATGTAACCAAAAATGCCTTCAGCTAGGATTTTAAGCAGCATTTCAAAGCCAAAGATGCCAGTAAGAATCAAATTACACACTTCCACTGCTAAAGTTAATTCCTCCGGCTGAAATAAAAGAAATAATTCAAAGTAAGAAACAATAGTGTTTATTATCAATAACATTCATTAAAACATATAATTTTTTCAATGAAATAATTTTTGAAGCACATCACGGCATGAACAACAACACACACAAAAGCTCAGACATATCTATATTCTATGATCCTAATCAATTATTCATAAATTGTACAAAGAACACACAGTCAAATCTTCTGAGAGGTCATTACTATTTTAATATTTAAAACAGCTTTATACAATATTTCACTTTAGATTTACTAAACTTTTTAATCTCTCTCTTGTTTCAGTCCACTGAGAAACACGATTACACTTACTTATGCATCATTCAAACATCTCCGTAAACTGCAACAAAAATTATGTGACTCATTACAGTACATTCTGATATTTACTAGTTTATTTTTCAGTTTCTTTGAGTTTCCATCAAATTATAAGTATGAAGATGATTCTAGAAGGTTGACTAGAACAATAAGAGAATAGACTGTAATTCTATATTCTGGAGAAACTTGTATACACAACACAATCACTACCAAGATGAGTAAAAAATAAAACAGATAAATGTAAGCACATGATGTGCTTATAATGGATAAAAAGAACCTGTTCGAAATTCACTGATGCACAAATAAGACAGCAACTAACGAGTTCATAAAGCAGCGTGGAAGAGAATGGTTTGAATGCTTCATGTGCTGTTGCTATGGTGGAATTTTTCAACTGTGATTTATTATTTATTGTTTGACAATAACTTGGGAGTTTAAACTCAAATCATCTGGACTGTTAAGCCTAAAGCAAACTTTATTCTTCAACACACACATACATGGAGCCAAGAAGATTTGTATGTAACATCAGAGGGTATCAGGAGAGCAAAATTCCAAAGTTAAAAAATTATATAGCTCATAGATTCAGAGCTCACTTCAAATTCTAAAAGGAAAATTTTGTGCATACTTATAATAACGAGACACTTGTGTAAATAATTTTGTTTCATTAAAAATCTTGATGATATACTGAACACATGGGCAAGATTTGGAACTAAAATGACGGGGATAAAAAAAAGTATTGACTAAACTATTACAATTATCGTGTATGTATACTATATCCCACACACACACAAAAAGAAGCTGGAGAGGGCACTTTCTCCTCCTTGCCCTCTCTGTAATCCCATCTACAATTGAGCACTGACGATGCTTCAAAACTTCACATTTAAAGTAAACAAACAGATGAATGAAATAAATAAATATTACATTTACCTGGTTATGATATTCAATACCCATACCCAGTGTGTTTATCAAAATTGCTGTGAGAATTCCTCTTTGAAAATACTTATGGTCAACAAAAAACTTGAGCTTAGCCTGATGAGGTTTCCACCAATAACAGAAGCTCTTAGTTGCTCCATGTTGCAATGCTGCACCATCATATTCTCCTTCTGACTCAGACCAAACACAGTCTAAATGACTAACATGACCTCCTTTCTCCATCTCAACGTCACAGAGAATAACTGGAGCTGAATGATGTTTTTCTCCTGAGAAGCGAAAGCAACATACGTTAATGTATCATATAAAAACCGTATCATGCTTATATGGTCAGAGCAAAATCTAGTTTCCTAAAATCACTTTTACAGAAACAAACAATCGTTTGATGAATGAGCTGATATGTGTATGTGTAGTCAGCAAACTAAGTGTATATTAAAAATTGTAAACTAACAGTTACACCCACACTATAAAGTGGTCTGTCCGTGGGTGTGTGTGTTTGTCTGTAATAAAAATATAATTTCCCGACTTCTTGTCACCAGGTATTCTTAGGTATGCCTTTTATTATCCAATTTCACAAGTTTGACAGCCATTTGAATTTTCACCTTTACTACTGCCCTAATGCCTACTTCTCAAACTCTGATCACCGTGAACTTTTAGGGGTTTTGTGATACAGCCTATACCTCCAGGACCCCTAGAATTACAAGTTTTAGATAATAGGTAAACTAATATGGAGAAGTTGGCCAGTGAGGGTGAATTTCTAGAAAATGTTATGTCAATATTCAATAGATATGCATGGTAAATGATGCACACATACTCCACCCCACCATCTGTATGAAGCCAATGAAATAAATGCCACTTGTGGTGTTGGTGTCTTTGCTAGTAATCATAAAGACAACATCCTCATCATCATAATTTTAAACATTTCAACAAAATACTTTCAAATTTTCAATGTTCCCTGTGACCAATCTGTAAGCATTAGATTTTTTAAATCCACAAAACACACGACTTTTTAATAACTTCAACGTATATAAACGCAAGTTTGAGTTGTTAAATAATTATATATTCCTCTACAAATTTAGCACATCAAAATTTATTTATTTTTTTGTGTTAGGTCTCAAAATAATCCAGAATTAACATTAAATTTTGATCAAAAACAAACTACTTACATAGATCAGAGCTAAAAAAATTAACCCATCAGTGAATATTGCTAATACAGTGTTCTAATTCTGTGCATAAAACAAAAACTTACATTGATTAGAATTTGTTGATCTATCATTTCAGTATGCTCCCTGTTAATCATATTTTCAGCCATAATGAACATTTTAAAGGTCTGCATAATGAAGAAAGATCATGCAGTTGCTTATATATGCTGTAATTAAGTTTCTATACTTTTTACGTGTATCTTTTTTTCATCTTGTTTAATTATAATTTGTAGCCAAATTATAAATAAAATTGTTAATATATTATTAAGATATGTAATTAATCTTCTTACCAATTATTAGTTGTATTTTAGTAACTTAGGTTATGAGAGAATGAATTTAGGGTTATCTCTCTTATGGTTCTAGTGATCACTGCTCCTAATAACAGCTATAAAGTGACTAGTTCTTTTGTGAAATTACCTTTTAGGTTATTAGCTAGAAAAATTAAGTTGAAAATATACCCGGGTAAATCTAATTGTCTTACTCTTGTTGAAGATAAACACAATGACATAGAATACACCTAAAGGTTCTTTTTGTGACAAAAAATAATTATGATAATGTGTGAATAATTTGGGTGACATACGCATGTTTTATGTATCGTATCAGCCCGCTATTAAACTGAAATTTGTGTTATAATCTGTAGTCTTTATAATATTAAAAACACCCTACACTAACAAGTATACTGTATACCCTTTCTTAAAGTTGAGTAGAACCTCTGCATAGCATAATTACTGGCCAGACTAGCTGCTAGTGCGGCACTCTGAGCTCCTGTGAAAACAAGTAGTTCAGCACATGTGAGTGGAGATGTGCCACAAGAAGTGTCGGAAGGTTGCTGGGTAACTTGTAGACTCACTTGTTTAGGAAGAGACTGTTGTTTCTTAACTGACAGTACAGGTTCTGCAAGCATACAAACAAAAATGAACAATTATATACATACATGTATATGCTCGTCCCCCTGTGGGTTGGTGGTAAGTTTATGGACTTACAAACCAAACTCCAGGGTTTCACTTCCCCATAGAGGACAGAGCACTAAAAACATAACAACAGCACATATATACTCAAACAATAAAGATGCTGAAATAACTACCTCACCATGCAAAGTACTACCTTTGGGCCTAGACACCTATAACTGTCGACAACTTTGTTTTTATAAGAGAAATTTATTTTATACAATCAGCTCTTCCCAATATCTAATTATACTGGGGGTATTTGTAAATGTTATTGTTCAAGGAGCTATTGAAATCTTTGACACTGGTAATTAAAATTAAAGGTCCCAGAATCTGGGAGTGTACCTACTAGTCCAATTCTCTTAATTAGAAAATGCTCAATTATTAACATTAATCTAATTTTGTGAACAATTCTTAACTTTTTCATGAAAACCATATGCACCCAATTAATCTCCTGTTAGGCACCTTATTAAAAGGTTCTTGGAAGTTATAATATACATCACATGGGCATAACCAAAGGTGTCTTAATGGTCCGAAAAGTCTTAATGGTCTGTTATCTTCTGTTGTTGTTTTTTACTTAATAAACACTTGGAAATCATGTAAATCTCTTAAATTATTTATGCATGAAAAAAGATTCAATTTTTTTTTAAATAAAACATTACCCACCCCCACTCTGTACTGCTGGCTACACCCCTGAATCTGGGATGCGTGCTTCTGTTTAGAAAAAAAAAAAACTTAAACGTGTTGTTGCATCATAATAAAGCTTTTCTGAAACCATGTTAGATCAAAAAGACAAGCATAATAATTTCTCGAATGCTTTTCTGAATGATGTCTGATCTTGCTACAAACAAAAGTCAAACTAACTGACCCGTAGTTTCTTATTTGTAAATCCTTCCTCAACTTCTTGTTTTTATGAAACACAGATCATAGTAGAAATTTTATACAATTGGCAGAACTTTGATCTGTGTTAAAAAGACTTTTGTAACATAAAAGCTAAACTCTTAACTTTTTGCTTAGCTTCTTCAAGATGTAAAATAAACCTTGTTAGGATCAGGATATTTAATCTAGCATTTTCGCAAGGTTAGCTACATTTTTTTGCTCAATAATAAACATCTTTTTAGATATTTTAACCCAATGTGCATAGGTGGGGGTCAAAGTGTACATGCCAAGACCTTTTACAGAGTGCCATTCAACATAGTATTATGTATTTGATATCAAAGTTATCAATTATATATTTTACCCTATACTACTGATTCAGTGACAGTTTGTGACTGGGGAGATTAAATACCAGATACAGTATAAATGACAGCTAAAAAAAGTGCAGATTTGCATTTTGAAGGTCCTAGAAGTTATGCAAATACAATATGCAAACTGTAAGATGGACAAGAGTATTTTTGTTCATCAAATGACTATCACCTTGCACACCGACTTGTAAGAACCAGAGTCAGACTGATGTCAGCGATTCACGGACATTTCTTGAGTTCAAATACTCTTGTAACATATTTGATTTTTTGTGTAACAAGACTTTTAAATCTTACTAGAAACTCTCCACATTTTGCACAGATATAAATTCAGAACTATAGTCAAAATTATTGCTGCAATATGGGGTCGTGAGTTTTAAGTTTGATTTTTTTTCAACTTCATTCCCGAAGTGTTTAAAGACCAGGGAAACAGATTTAGATATCAAAACATAAAAAAAGTTAACTACAATATATTTATGGTGTTTTTAGTTGTCATTTACTCCTCACAGTAAATCTATATTTATATAGAATTTGACGAATACGTAGCACTGATGCTACTAATCGATTCTTCTTAATTATTTTGTGGACAAACTGCTTAAAATACAACAAAATATACATGGAACCACTTGATTTACCACTAAGTTATACCCATGATCAGTTGATTATAGGTTCATTGTGGTGTGTAAAGAACAATTAAAATCATCATATTTATAATGTACTCCCGATCAACTTAGTCTTTTCCTTTGATTTCCCTTGTCCAGTCTCCAGGGTAACTTATGAGAAGTAGAATTCCCTGAAACTGGTATATATCGGGGACAACTTGAAGTGGTAAGTCAAATGATAACTTGGGCTTCATACTTATATTTGAACTATTATATGTGTACATAATCACAGAACTCCAATAATTTGTTTTTTCTACAAACAGCAAACATTCAATATCCTACTAGGGTATAACAGGTTGAATTTCAAGCACAGATTGTAATAATTAATTCAAATAGAAGATACTGTTTCATAAAAGTAACAAAATGAATATGCTTACAAGTGACATGTTCACTATAACTTTACCTTGGCACTCAACAGAAACAGGAATTTCACTTATGGAGGAATTTTCTGGACTGCAAAGATTGCTTGGTACTTTGAGCAAGCTTGGTCTTCTTGGTGATGATGTGGGATCAATATCCGAGACCTCGGGACTGGCACATGGAGCTACAGATGATTCACAAGGAGACCACACAACAGAATTTTCGGGTGTTTGGGACATATGCACACACGAGTTAGAATTGGAATTAATGGAATCAAAATTATTATTATTTGAAATATCATGACAGGATTCACGATGTTTCATTGAACTCTGTCCTGGCTGCCAAGGAGGCCTTTGATGCCTCCTTTGTAAGGAAGTTGAATGAGACAATTCTTCTTTTCCATGTTTCCGACGCATTTGTTTGTACCACTGTAGGAATCTCCGTCTTGCACGACGTCCGAGATGAGCTAGATATTTTACCATTTCTGTGTAGCAGCTCAGTGGCTGTTCTGATGCACTGGTATTAGCAAGAGTACTTGTTGATTGAAAGCGAGCACGTTCTTGTTTCATTCTCTTCAGTTCTCTCTTTTTTGTTTCGGAAAATTGTGTTGCGATCACAACCAAGCAAAGGTTGATCATAAAAAATGATCCAACCTAATAATTTAATTTCTGTATTAGTGTAAAAAACATTTCAAGTAGCTAACAGTAAACTTTCTATTGAAAAACATTCAACACTTTTTTTATTGTTCAAGCAAGTAATATTAACTCTTAAAGCAGCCTGCGTGTTAACAATGATGAAGTTTATTTTAAATATACAGTTTACAGATTCCTAAGCAACTTTAAATTTTTATACCAAGTATTTAGATTAACGTGAGATTAACAAGATTACAAAAATAATGAAAAACAATAATGATTCTAACTCATCTATAATGTTGAAGGTAGAAAATGTAGTTCATGAAATACATCTGGTAGAAAAATGTTCAAAGTCATTAGTTTAATTCAACAAATGGACAATTTTGGACATAAACCTTTACATGAAAAAGGCAATAAGTGAAAAGAGACTTCTGGACTGGGACTTGAACCCAGGACCTCTTTATAACTAACTACTTGATCATAACGTAATATGGTAATCATACTCCCAATGAGAAACCTTAAGGGTGAACAGTGATGGAGATGTCTTGTACTCTTGGCTAGCTCAGTAGTAGAGCATTGGCCTTGTTATCAGAAGATTTGATTTCAAGTCCCAATCCCAGAGTCTCTTTTTCACTTGTCAGCTTTTCCCTCTTAACAGTTTAATTCAATTATGTGGAACATTTCAGTATGTGTATACTTTAAGACAGTGTTTAAGTCCTAGTCTGAAATTCATTTTAACTGTAAGAGAACCACCCAAAGAATTCTGTTGTAATTAAACAAATTGTTCCTAAAGGTAAAGTTAACCCTTTTCAACAGAACAACATGAAAGACAGCTTACCACAATAAGTAACATGAAGTACATCCAATCCCAAAATGAATGAGCATCTTGGACATAATACATTATATCTGTCCAGCCTTCTAAGCTAATTACCTACAGTAATAAAAGAGAAAGAATATGCTAATTACTCAAATCTAACCACAGATGTTTACTGGTGCAACTATAGCATGGATTCTACAGAGATATTTACACTATAGCATGGATTCTACAGAGATATTTACACTATAGCATGGATTCTACAGAGATATTTACACTATAGCATACAATCTACACGGATATTTACACTATAGCATGCGATCTACACAGATATTTACACTATAGCATACGATCTACACAGATATTTAAACTATAGCATGGATTCTACAGAGATATTTACACTATAGCGTGGATTCTACAGAAATATTTACACTATAGCATGCGATCTACACAGATATTTAAACTATAGCATACAATCTACACGGATATTTACACTATAGCATGCGATCTACACAGATATGTACACTATAGCATGCAATCTACATGGATATTTACACTATAACATGCGATCTACACAGATATTTACACTATAACATGCGATCTATACAGATATTTACACTATAACATGCGATCTATACAGATATTTACACTATAG